CTGCTGCCGCCCTCTCCTCTCCCCGCCCCCCCCCCCGCTTCCTCCTCGCCCTCGCCCTGGTGCTCGCCCTGCTCCTGCCGCTCGCCGCTCCTGCTGCCAGTGCTGCTGGTGACGCTGGCTCGGGCTGCCGGAGGGTATCGTACCCACGGCGACCGACGACGAGCCACCGCTCATCGCTGCGCCCCCGGCTCGCCTTCACCGCTGCCCCTCCTCCTCGTCCTACGACTCGTCGTCGTTTCTTTCTCCTCCTTCTCCTGCCTCTCCCCCTGCCGCTGCTTCTGCTCCTCATCCTGATCCTGCCACTCCTCTTCCCTCCTCCTCGTTGCCCTTCCCTTGCTTCTCATCCTCCCACTACTCGTCGTCGCCGTCGTCGTCGCCCTCCTCCTCCTCCTCCTCCTCGTCCTCCCCCTCCTTTTTCACGATCTGGATCAAAGCCCAATGATGAAAACTGCCAGCTGTCGGGACACTGACGTGGCCAACGAGCTTGTCGGAGCCACCCAGATGCTGCGTGCAGACATGAAGAAGGTGATCCTCCCCATTGCTGTGAAGAAGTCTCCTGTTGTTGCCTCGACAGCGCCCCTCAGGTCTGTGACTGAGCAAAAGGCTGAGAAAACTCAAAGTGCAGGGCACCCGTACGGATCGCAACCTCGGTATCGATTTGCAGCAGGTCGTGTGTTTCGGCAGGCCCTTCGAGTCAGCAGAAAGGCTCCTGCCATCGCTCGGGCGCGTAGGGTGTCTGTCTTTTCTGGCCTGGTGAACAAGAAGAGGTTGCACACCATGGTTCAGAGCGCCGTGCTGTCTTCTTGTAACTATGGCAATGAGGTGCTTGGCACGACTGGCGCGTGTCTTCGTTGAACACGCATGATGCAAGCGCATGTCCAGACACACAAGCTAGCAGACAAGAGCACTAGTCTGCTCCTCATGCTTGCTGACTCTCCTCGTGTTGATCCCGCCTACTGCCTCAACCTCGACCCCTCAAACACATCTGACACAGCCTTGTGGTTAGCATGGCTGCCGAGCAGGGTTCTGGAGCAAGGGTTGCGGGACTCGTTTGAGCGTTTCAGAGGGCATGGCAACTTTTGGGCCGGCATCCGCGGGCCTTTCTCTACTTGTGCTGCCACTGCTCTCAGGATTGGCCTTGAATTTGACGTTTTTTCTTGGACGCATCCTGAACTAGGCAAGCTGGACATGTCGGAAGTAGGCCCCATAACGGTACCCATGTCGCTGTCTCGGATCGTTGAGCAGTTGCTTTAGTCTAAAGTCGCTGAGCGTGAGCGTGTTTCTGAGCGTGCGACCTGGAGTCTCGGCGGAGCTTACTCAGATCCAAGGAGCTCCTGCCTACAGCCTACAGATAAGAAAGGCTTTTGGGGGGGGGGGCGGGGCGGGGGGCAGTGGCCACAGCACAGGCAATGGGCCGCCAAGCTTTCCCCAGGCGCCTTGTGCCCGCGATGCCACGAGTCCTCAGCCACTCTCCTGCACAGGCATGCCAGCTGTGGAAGACACGGGGAGCTCTCGCCCGAGGAGCCTTCTCCAGGCTTTCTCGGGTCCCTCGCGGGGTCCTGCTCCAATCCTCTTCCCCTCCTCTTTGCCGCGGGGCTGCTGGTGCCTGATGCTGTGCTGCCTGCCGGCACCGCTCTTCCCGAGCGCTGGTTTGGAGGAGGTCCCACCGCCATGACATGACTACGTTTCCACATGGGAGCTGGATAGACCAGCTGTGCCCTCAATATGCTCAAGCAATTGCCTGGGTCGTTGTCGCAGTGCACGATCCCTACTATGTGCAGTCAGTCATGCGTGGCACGCTCTCGCATGTTTGTCGGGACATAGAGGCTGCAGAATTGTTTTCCTTTTTGCGTGCCTTGCATCACTCAGCGCCAGGGCCAACTTTTGTACGGACTCTAGCTTTGTGTATGACGTGGTCCACCATCGGGACAAGCGTTTGTGCTGCTCAGCTCGGTAGGCCTGGGCTGATCTCTGGATCCAGGGTTGGAGTCGCAACGAAGATTGGGGTGGTGTTGAGCAGGATGCCCTTCGCAAAGTGGAAGGTCATTGTATTGAAGCTCGCATCCAGCTCGGTCTCTCTACTCGTTTCGAGAACGAAGAGAACGCTCATGCAGACGACTGGGCCCAATGGATGGCGCAGCGGGCCAAGATTCCAGAGCCCATGCGTGATGGTCGGACGGCCAAGGCAGAGGTTCTCAGATCCTGGGCTCGGTGGGTTGCCCACATAGGCCCTCGCAGGTGTCATCTTGATTGTCAACACGTTTCCTCTCAGCAATGCAACGAATTCAATAACAACAGCAACACGGAACCTCATATGCCACCGCTGCAGCTCGTGCCGCCGCCGCCGCCTATGTTTCCCAACATCTTTCCTCGAACTGGCATGGAGTGCAACCGTGTGCTTCTCGTTGGACGACGGGGGATGGGCGTGTGTGGTGCGTCTTGCGTAGTGAGTGTGTGCGGGAGGGGAGGCGTCACAATATCTGCTGTTCTGCCAACGGTCTGCGCTGGCCCGCCTGCTCCTGGATGTCGGGGTGCTCGCGTATTGTCCAATGTTGTCCGCGAACCCTCCAGGTTCCAGATCAACAAGACCTATTGGCCTCTCGTCGAACCACTCAAGACGGCGAAGCTCATCCGTGCGGGCACTGGCCCGCCAACCTGCCCTGCTCGGTTTTGTCCGCTCGTTGCGTAAATGGCAGTCCGCTACCTGGAGCGGCACGGGGGCGCCACCCGCCCGACTCTGTCGACGGAGGCGTAAGTGGCATGTGGCGCGCAGCTGGACTGCTCGTCCTGGACTGGTCGAGGAGAGACAGCAAGCAAAGAGGATGCCGACCACAGGCTGGGCACTGCAGGCAAGCCAGGACAATGTTGGCAAGCTGTCCTACGAACGTGGCCGAACCTACCTGGCCTGACGCCGACAACACGCGGCTCCTTGAGGAAGGACAATGCAAACCGCGAAAGGGGGAACTCGCGCTTACGTCATCCTCTAGGTCCATCCAGCTGGACTCGCACTGGTGGCCAACGCAAGCTGTGGGAGAGCCACGGAGAAGGATGAGCGAGAGCAAGAACGTCAAGGGAGAAAGGGTGAATGTTTCTGGCAGCGACGCTGTGAAGCACACGCGCGAGCAGCAACCCTGATCCAACACGCAGCCAGACGGCACACATCGCTGCGCGAATAACGCACCCCAGTGTGGATAGTGATGAAGGCTAGCGCGTGGAGGGCGAACGCCCGCCAAACTGCAGCAGCAGCGCAGCGCGTGGAGGGAGGCGACGTGGCAAGGTCAGAAAAAGAGCCTGAGGTTGGCCGACCGCGTCCCTCGAGCACGCCACGCAGAGCAAGCATCTGGTGGGCATCCCAGCGCCACCCGTGGAAGCAGAGGAGGGGACGGGGCGAAATAGGGAGGAGGACGAGGGCGAGGGAAGTGGCCGGCGTGCTGCGCCGGACCGGGCCCTAGAATTTTATGTGCTGCGCATGGTCGTGCTGTACAGCCTCGTATTGCCGGAGCCCGTCGTGCTGCTCTTCGTCGTGTGTCGTGCTGCTGGTGATCGTCGTGCTGCTGGTGATCGTCGTGCTGCGCCTCCTCCTCATTCTCCATCTCCTCTGACTCCTCATCCGCGTCTCCTTCTCCTGCTCCTGTGCCTCATCTTTGTCTTCCTCATCTTCCTGCTCCTCTTCCTCCTCATCCGACGTCTCCAGACTCCGACTTCGGCTGTGGCTCCATAACATGCATTCCGTCCTCCCCTCGGGTACCTATCCCCCTATCCCCCCCTTCGTCCGACCCGAGAGGAGGCCCGATGCCCATCCCTCCTCCTCCCCCTCCCACTTTAATGATGCGATCATACGCACGTGGCAGTACTTACGTGCATTGATCCTGTGTCGTGCTTCGTCGCGTGCTCAACAGCGAGGCACTTCTCGATGCTCTGTCCTCTTGTAGAAGTTGTCGTGAACTGCATCACATGAGGCGCATCATATTTGGGATTGCGCTGCTTTCTGCGTCTCTGGCTGGCAGGGTATATCACGAAGAGAAAGGGAGGGCAGAGTAATGCGCGCCGCTTTCTCACAGACTCACCTTGCCGCCGAGGAACATTCTCAGCATTTCTCTGAGAGCGCGGCAGCCAGCGCTGCACTTGCGGATGAATATCCAAGCCTGGTCGATCAGACTTCTGCGATTGGGAAGCAGATCCGACGGCAATGTCTGAAGAGCTCGCCAAGCTGACTTAGCTGGCTTAGCTTAGCTTACCTAAACAACTAAGATCACACAACCTGCCGAACCCTGGTGCTTACTGTTGGTTCTGATTTCCCCAATTAAGCTTTGCCTTGGGTTTCCCACTCGGTCGGTGCAAAAGGCGGGTGGCCGTTGCGTCGTCTGCCCTGCTGGCTCCTTGGCACCCGTGCCCCCTGCTCCTCATCTCGAATCTGGCTCCGTGTGCACATGTGTCATAGCACAGCATAACACATAGCATTTGCTTCGTATCGTAGCGTGACATGTACCATAGCACATTCATTCGCAGAGCAGGGCAGAGCACAACACACATTCAATACTTCGACTTGCCGCTGGATTGCCTGCGAGGTGCCCTCAGCTTCGAGAGGACGCCTAGCCCAGACCTCCGACGTCGTGCTTTTCTCTTGACGCGGGCCTCAACGCTCGGCTACACGAGAGCGTGACCCTATGCAAGCGAGGGACCACGGGTAGGCCGAACCAGAGCGCGCGAGCTGCTGCCATCGCATCGCGTTCAACCATCTGGGGCCCCCCCGCTGGCCCCGCACCCAGGGCCCCTCTGGCGAAAGGTCATCCGGACGTGCAACCGACGTGCTCCAGGACCCCTTCCCCGGGGCCTGCTCTTCCGCCTGGGAAGTCCCGCTGCGGTCGACGGCGCCAGGGTCCGAAACGGGCCTCCGGCCGCCGAGGCGAGGCTGTGGGACCCCTGACCGCCTCGATGCCTGAAAGACGTTGGAGGCCCGGGTGCTGGCTCGCGTCGAAGCTGCTGCGGGTTCGGTGCCGTCATCTGCGGGCCTCCCCTGCGGCCTCTCGCTGCAAGTCCGGGTCCGACCTCAGAGGCTCCGCGGCCAGGTCCAGCAGCCAGCCGTGCTGCCGCACCGCCGTGCGAACGACCTCCCTGTCGGCCTGACAGAGCCCCCCAGAAGGAGCAGGGTGGCTGCAGGAGAGGGTCCGTGACGCATGTTACACAAGGGTTTCTGGATTCACGCGCACGGTCAATCTCGAATTGAGCTAATCCTTACTGTGTGCTTGCGCAGATTCCAAACATGCGCAGGAATCGAGACAGAGTGGCGCAGAGTACGACAATGAGACATGTCTCAACGTGGCAATGCCGAAACCAACGCCCCTGGAGCAAGTGGACATGGCTTCGTCATACCCTGACCAAGAAACTCGGAGGCGGATAATGTCACTGCCGCTCGTATGCAGCCGGCGCCATGGCATCATTGTTTCGTGCTTCGTATCGGGCGTGACGTGGCCGCGAAACTGTGCGCGAGCGTCGATGTGCCTTCGCGTAGAGGCCATCAAATTACACCAATAATGACCAACTACAATCTCAAACAACCTCCAACATGCTCACAAATTACGGAAAGATCCGGGACGGCCTTCTGGTTGACTCCCTGCTCATGTGGATCCCGAGCTTTGGTTTGACGACTGTCTCTGATTTTTATCCACTGTGTGCTCCTACACTTCTCTGATCAAAGCAACTCGGCTGGGGATGATGCGCTGGTGGGGACACGCGTTCCGTCAAGCACCCTTTTTTTCCGGGGGTAGCCGCTAGAACTCTCCAAGCCACTTCCCGGTACACCGCTGCAGTCTCTCGGTGCGCTCGAGTCCACTCAGCCCGCATGGCATCCCCGATCTTGCCGAGCTCATCCGCTGGGGTGAAGACAGCATGCTGCAACATTCCTGGGACAGAGTCGAACCTAAGTGTATGGCCGAATGTCTCGTAGTCCGAGGCCTGCAGCCAGTATAGAAAGTGGTCCTGAGCGCGCAGCATCATCTCGGGGCTGCCGTCGTCCTCAATGTCGACCCAAGGCCCGAATGCGAAAGGGACCGAAGGCTGACCCGGCAACTGCCCAGCGAATCTCGGGTGCACAGCCCAGAAGGTGGTCTGGCCCTTCGTGAGGATCCGGAGGCCATATTGTGCGATATAAGACGCAGTGGGCAAAACGAGGGGCACTCCAAGAGCGTAGAGCTCTGGGAACGCCGTGAGCTGCAAATCCCATGGCATGAACACCACGCAGCGCATCGTCGCCAGCAACGCCCAGCTCGCAAAACCATCATCCAGGAGCTCTTTGACCATCGGATCTGCCCGCTGCAGCTGCCGCGAGCCCGCGAGCCTGCCTTCGCCGACGAAGCCCATGGCCACCACGATGAAATCACCGCAGAATGACGACGCACACCATATGTAGAAGGTTGCTCCCTCCGCACTCTTTCGCGACCATCTCGCCGCATCTGAGACGTACAGGCTCGCGGGCCGCACGGCCGCGACGTGCGCCCCCGTCTGGTAGAGCGCGTGCAGCGAATAGATCCGCGAGGCGGCCAAGACGGTCGTCTTCCCGTGCTCCACGAGGGTCTTGAGCTGGCCCAGGACCCACATGCGGTCCCCCTCCGGCACGAGCGTGAGCGGCGTGGGCGTCAGGTAGACGAGCACGTGCCGGGGGACGTCAGCTGGCCGCCTCGCCGCTCCTGGCGCCGGGCCGACCCTGGGCCCGGGGTGGGTCTACATGCCTCCACTGAAGGCCGGGAGGGCGCAGACACCGACACTGGGCCCAGGACCGAGGACGGGCCTGGCCAGGGTCGGTGAGTTTGTCAGCTGGCTCGAGGAAGATAAAGCTGCAGACGCGCACATTTTCGGAGGTCCGCCCAGACTTCTTGGGTCGGCGTGGGACCACCCTGGCGGCGCCTCTGAAGCCGCTTTTGGCGCGCTCCGCACGCAAGTGAGGGGGGTCCAGCGCCGATCCACGAAATCCGCGCGGACCTCCGAAAGTTTGTGCTTATGTAGTTCTTCTTATTTGCTGACGTCCCCCGACATGTACAGGGGCGTGATGGTGCGAAGAACCGCGCAGAGCAGGAACGGGTGCGCGCAGACCACGGCGTCGGCCTGGCGGCGGATGTGGCGCCGGTGGATGAGCCCCACCCTGCGGAACAGCTCGCCCGTGAAGCCGACGTCCCGAAAGTCTTCCCTGCGCATGTCGCCGAGCGTGTACAGGAAATGGCCCGGCTGCGCGCAAGAGCCGGCCCTGGGCAGGAGTGGCCCTCGGTGCGCGGCCTTCGAGGGCCGTGTGGAAGGCCAACCCCGAGCAAGCCAAGCCGCGCCAGCCAGCGCTGGCGGCATCTCCGTGGGCCCGCACCGAAGGCCACCCCGGCGAAGGGTCACTCTGACGCGTAGCCGAATGGTGCACGTCTGCGGCCCAGCCGCCTGGCGCCCGACTGCAGGCGGAGCCGGCCTGCATCAGCTGGCACGGCACGTCGCTGCTCGGGTGCATGACGCCCAGGAAGGCCAGGTGGACTGGCACGCCCAGTGCCAGCAGCTGCTCCCGCAGGGACGAGGCGGGCTCCACCACCGCGACGTGGGTGCTCAGAGCAACGACGGTCAGGTTGCCGCGGTCCCGTTCAGCACCGGCCGCGGCGGGAACCTCCCCGCCGCGGGCCTCACGCAGGGGCGGCAAGTGCGGCGCGCTCTTCGGAAAGCCGGCGCCAGCCCCCAAGCCTGCAGCTCCGCCACTTCCGAGGCTCGCAGCCGCCTCCAGGACGTCGCTGGCCCGCAGCAGGGAGCCCCAGCGAGAGCTCTCGAGGAAGTCGTACGCGCGGCACCCGTCGAGCATCTGCCGAGCCCCCCAGAACCAGCTGGCCGCGCCCTTCTGGCCACCCTGGGCGCGCAGCCAGCCCCCCACGTATCCGAGCACGACGAGGCCCAGGTGGCAGTGGCCGTCCAGCAAGCGCGGGTGCAGGTCGCCTCCCAGGACCCTCAGGTAGGTCTCCGTGCGGGACCCCCACCCCCCCGCTGGGGCCCACCGGTCGTTTCACCGCCCCGTGGGCCAGGAAGGGCCAGGAACGGCCATGCAGACCTCCCCCAGGCAGGGCGACACTCAACATGGTCTGACCTCTGCCAGTTCTATTTTCATTGCTGGGGAGGGCCTGCTTGGTCGCTCCTGGGCCCCAGGGCGGCTAAAAGACCGTGGCTCTTGGTGCAGCAGCTTACGCTCGACGTCGACGCCCCACTGGGACAGGTCAAGCAGCTGCCCTTGCGGCAACACGTCTCGAAGCCACCCGCCGCTGGCTGCCACCTCCAGCGTGCTGTAAGCCTGATCCCACAGCGGATCGAAGCCCACACCCGTGCAGTCCAAGTACGGCAGGGTCAGCTCCATGGGCAGGCCACCCATCGATGAGAGGGAGGAGGAGGAGGCGAGCGGCGGGAGAGACCACGAGAAGGGCCCTCGGTGCTCGAGCAGGGTCTGAGCCGAAAACTACGGAACCCAATCCTGGTGAGTTCTTACTTTGTCAACTCCGCGCCGCAATGCATCCGCGGGGTCCGCGCCTGGCGCTTCGCGCTACGAGCTAAACTCAATCCACGCTGTGGGCTCCAGTGGGCTCCACGGCCCCCTACCATGTTGAGTCTGGCGTGCGCCAAGCTGCGATGGACTTCCCGCGCGCAAGGGGCCGCAGAGGCAGGGACACAAGGGTACCCTAGGGGTACGGTCTTATGAATATTCGCGCGGGCCTGAGTTCTTCACGTCGGTCTTCTCCGCAGGTGCGAGGACCGGGAGCACAATGGCTTTGGGCCCCTCCGGGCCAAAGATCTCGCCGAAATTGGCGCGTCCTCCCCGAGACGCCGACCGCAACATCTCAGAATTATGTGAATCGACCGAAATGTGGGCCGGCGCACATATCCAACTGGACCTCGCCCCGCCTCGCTACTGCCAAGCGTGCGAATACCGCTAGCATGCTCTATTGCCCTTCTGGGGGCCAAGCGAGTCGCGGCGCTGCGCAAATCCGAGTGCGACCTCGCCTGGCTGGGTGCTGCCGTAAGTGCTGCTGCCGCAACTTTCCTGCGCCCCTTGCGGGGGGAGGTGATAACCGGGTCGGGTCGGAGCTTCGGCAGTCAGAGCTCGCTCGGCGAGCGCTCGAAGAGAGCTGGCACGCACCAGTCGCTCGGGAGCCCGAGGAGCGCCCCGAGGGACCCAACGCCCACCAGGCCCTGCTGGCCCTCCTGCGCTTTGGAGCGGTCCCGTCTTGCGGTTCGGACGCCGCGAGGGGGGGTCTCTGGAGCCTTCGGCCCATGGACCCCGCGGTCGCCCAAACTGAGCACAAGCGCGATCGACCCACGAAGCTGGAGAAAGGAATCAGAACTGCGAGACAGGGAGACGTTCCCAAAGACCTCAGTTGGGGGATGGGCAGTGGCAGTGCTGAAGGTGTCGATGGTGATGATACTGTGCCAAGGGCTGTGTTGTGTTGCGCTGCGCTGTGCCGCGCCGCGCAGTGACGTGCCAAGGGACGCGCCAAAGGACGCGCCGCGGGACATGCCAAGGGGATGCGCCCCGAAACGTCCCCACCGGGTCCGACTCCCAGGGCCACGGTCATGAACAAGTTATGCTGCGCCCGCTCCCCCAGGGCCACGATCTCTGGTAAATTACACTGCGCTCCCAATACCACGACCCCTCGCGAATTACATTGGATTCGCGCTCCCAGTGCCACGGTCCCTTGAAAATTATGCTGCGTCCGCGCTCCCAGGGACACGGTCCCTCGAAAATTGCGCTGCGTCAGCGATCCCAGGGCCACATTCCTGGAAAATTATTTGGGATTCGCGCTCCCAAGGCCACGATTGCGCGTAAATTATGCTGCGTCCGCGCTCCCAAAGCCACGATCCCGTGTAAATTACGCTGCGTCCGCGCTCCCAGGGCCACGATCCTTGGGAAATGCGCCGCGTCCGCGCTTCCAGGGCCAGAAAGCATTCCCTGAAGGTTGCCCAAAAGAGCACTGCCCCCCTCCCCTCCCTCTCCAGCGAAGAAAACACTCCATTCTGTATTGTGATCTGTGTTCTGGGGGGCTTTTCACCCCTCCAGCCCCGCCGTTTGTGAAAATTGGGCGCTGGACCCGACGCCACGAATCCTATTCAATTTACGCTGCGTCCGCGTTTCCAGGGCCAATATCCATTTCAACATATGCTGGATTCGCGCTCCCATGGCTACGATCCAGCGAAAGTTATGCTGCGTCCGCGCCCCCAATACCACTTTCCATCGTAAATTACCCTGCTCCGGCGCTCCCAAGGCCACGGTCCCTTGTGAATTGCGCCGTTCCCGTGCTCCAGTGGCCACGACCCCTTGTAAGTTACTCTGCGTCCGCCCCCTTAATGCCACAACCCCTTGTGCACTGCGCCCCGTCCGCCCTCCCAAGGCCGAGATCCCTTGTAAATAACGGTGCTTCCGCACTCCCAGAGCCACCTGGACATCCTGGGCCCAGGCCCCTCAAGTTCTGCAACACAATCGTTTCGCTGGAGTCATCCTCAGATATTCAGCACGCAGGGCGCGCCAGCCTAGAGCGGGCAGGCAACAAATAAACATTCTGTTATTTTTTAAATAATCTACAGTCTCCGGACCTCGTTGTTGAGTGAGAACTATGCGCGAAACGCTCCGCTCCCTCTTTTCTACGAGGGAAAACGGGGGTCAGCGGAGCCCGTTTGGCATCGAAGATTCGAGATGGGGGGCGCACTCTCATCGAGCGGGCACGTGCGAAACGCATTTTTCACCCCAAAGAGAATTCTACATCGTTGTTTTCTTGGAAATCCGCCCGCCCTCTTCAAGCATGGCGCCGGCTACAGATTACCATCCTATGAGAGAGCCCTGGGCCCGCGCCATTGATGGGACAAAACTGATACAGTCGGGACGTCGGGCCTTTGCCCTGGGAAACTCCCGCACTCAAGTTATCAGCTGATACTTGCGTTTGCCAAGCCTTCCTTGGCCCAAACGCCGCCTGCATTTGCCATGGCTCGAAGCCCACCGAGGTGGGGTTTGGGAGGCGGGGGGAAGGGCTCAGGTGGAACGTCGGGGGCTCGGCTGGCTGACACTTTGCTCGGTGTGCTTTCTGGTCTGCTGTCGGGCCTGCTCACTGCTGCTCCTCCCCCTGGCGCTTGCGTAGCATAGTCTGCGCCTGGCGCTCGAGGGCTGGCGGTGGCGGGCTGCCCTAGACTGCCGCCCTCTAATGTGAATCACCGCCCTCAGCATCATGACCCGCAGCTCCTGGATGGTGATGCGCTCTAATGCGATGGCTTCGTCCATGTCTGCCTTCTCCGCTGTTGCCCTCGCTCGAGCACCATCTTCTCTGTGAGGCCCTTGCGTCTGTCGGTGCGCAGCCATGGATTCTGGGTCAGCGGGCTCATCACCATGTACCGTTTTCCATTTGGGCTCTTGGTTCTTCACACAGACCGCCTTCCTCCTGACACATGGGAATCTTTGAACGAACTACTGCGTTGTCATGAGCACCATGAACGCCATCATCTGCTGCAGCGTTGTCTTCAGCTGGCCTGGGATCTCCATCTCCGCTGCCGCTCCGATTCACCTGACCAGTGCTTGGTGGTGTGGCGGCTTCAGGTTCTTGGCCCCCTCCTTGGCTTGCTCTAAGTGCGCTTTGCCCGCCTCCTCCGCTGCTTTGATGGCGAAATCCCATGTTGCTCCTGCTAGATGCCGTGCCTGCCTGCTGGCTGTGGTTGAGGCTGAGATTTTGCAGCGCCAGGATCAAGTCTGCCGAGCACTGTGACCTACCTCTTTTGGTGGCCGCTTTCTTCAGCCCTCTTCGGTGCACCTTCGCCGATAGCTCGACCGCCTCCGCCGCTGCTCCTATTTCCTCTAAACGTGTACGACCGGCGCCAGCGATGAGCCAGTTGGTGGCCATTCGTCTCTGGTCCAGGTACGTGTGTAATGACGTGCTGGAATTGAGCTCCTTGGGTCAGACCCTGGTGCGAGCATTAGCCACACATGTAGCCACTCAGTTTTTTCGGGCCGACATGTGAACGATGTGCTTCGTGTGGGACAGCTTCGAGGCGCGTGTCGACATGGTCAATACGTGTTTCAAACATGCTGCTCTGCTCGCATCTGCTCGCCAGACTTGCATGACACGGCGGGCATGCTTTCGTACTAATGATCACGGAATACTCGTTACGCATGCTGTGGGCGTATGTGACGTGCGCTGTGAGGCCCATGACCGTCGGAAAGCAGGCTCCACAAGGGTCCCCTTGGCTGTCCATATCGCGGCACGCATGCTCCTCAATATTTGTGCTTACTGTGTTGGCGCCGCTTCTTTCTTGCTCGGGTGCCCCTGGGGCTTCTTGTACCCGACTCTTCTTTCTAGGGATGATGATAACGATGGTGATGATGATGATGATGATGATGATGATGATGATGATGATGAGGAGGAGGAGGAGGAGGAGGAGGAGGAGGAGGAGAGGACGAGGATGAAAAGGACGAGGAAAGAACCCCTTAGAGCCTCATTGAACGCTAGAGCATCGACTGGAGCTTCCAAACATCCTCATCCTCTTTCTCCGGCCTTCCCTCTTTCTCCTTTCTCCCTCTCCTCTTCCTCCTCCTCCTCCTCCTCCTCCTCCTCCTCCTTCTTCGAGGAGGAAGATGAATGAAGATGAGGGGAATGACGAATGACGATGGGAGAGAAGGTAAACATTGAAGGATGGTCGGAGGTTGGGGGGTGAGATCGAAGTGGAACGGAGAGCCCCCCCTACTGGGAAATCGATTTCGGTTTCGTGTTCGTGCCGTGCGTGCGGGCGAGGCGAAGCTGCGTGGGCGGGGGAGAGGAAATTCTCCTGTGGCTGGGCCGCAGCTGGACCAAAAGGTTCTCCGCCCGGCAACAGGTGGCGCGCGGTGTCCCGCCGGTGTCCCGCTGGTGTCCCGCTGGTGTCCCGCCGGTGTCCCGTCGTGGCTAGGCCGCGGCCGGACCAAAAGATTCTCCGCCCGGCAACCGGTGGCGCGCGGTGTCCCGCTGGTGTCCCGCTGGTGTCCCGCCGGTGCCCCGTCACTGTCCCGCTGGTGTCCCGTGGTGAGATCGACAGTGAGATCGATAGTGAGATCGATAGTGAGATCGATAATGAGACCGATGGTGAGATCGATAGTGTGATCCATAGTGAGAGATCGATCGTGAGATCTATAGTGAGATCGATAGTTAGATCGATAGTTAGATCGATAGTGAGATGGATAGTGAGATCGATTGAGTGGGATCGATAGCGAGATCGATAGTGTAATCGATAGTGAGATGAATAGTGAGATCGATAATGAGATCGATAGCGAGATCGATAGCGGGATCGATAGTGGAATGGATAGTGAGATCGACAATGAGATCGACTGTGTCCCGCCGGTGTCCCATCGGTGTCCCGTCGGTGTCCCATCGGTGTCCCGTCGTCCCCCAACCTCCTTATCACCCGCAGGGTTGTCGTATAGGTAATAAGGAGATAAGGAGCTGAACGCGAACTCTTCAACTGTGGTTTGAAAGCTCCAGATCTGATCCTCCTCCGCCTCCGTTCCCCTTCTTCCTCCTTCTCTTAAAGTGTGTGGGCAAGACGGGGATGAGGAGAAGGGGAGAAGATGAAGATGAGGAGGGGGAATAATGCGATGAAGCGGGACGGGGAAGCGCCCTGCATGATCACGCAACATCGAAGAAACCAATCGGTACCCATACCGCTACTCCCCGGACCTCTCCCGGGGTGTGTGCTGACCAGGATATCGAGGCGAATCCAGCGGTGGCGACGAGGGTCTCCCAAGCGGGCGAACATGATCGACCCACGAACCCGCAAAGGGATTTAGACCTGCGAGGCCTGGGGACGTTCCAAGTACCTCATTTGGGCGATGGGCAGTGGCAATGCTGAAGATATCACTGGTGATGCGACTGTGCCATGGAGCTGCGTAATGCTTCTCTGCGCTGTGCCGCGCAGCGCAATTACGTGCTTGGGGACGCGCCACGGAACGTCCCAGAGTACGTGCCAGGGGGCGTGCAACGAGACGCGCCGCGCGATGTGCCAGGGGGGCGCGCCACGGGACGCGCCACGGAACGTGCCAGGGGGACGCGCCACGGAACGTGCCAGCGTGCGTGTCAGGGGGCGTGCCAGGGTACCTGCCAGGGGACGCGCCGCGCGACGTGCCCAGGTGAGGCGCAAGGGAACGGGCCCGAGGGTTACGATCCCTTGTAAATTACGCTGCGTCCGCGCTCCCAGGGCTAAGAGCAGTCGTAATTTAAACTGGATTCGCGCTCCCAGGGCCGCGTTATTTAGTAAATCGCACGGAAGCCACACTCCCTGGGCCACGATCCCTCGTAAATTGCGCTGCGTCCGTGCTCCTGGGGCCACGACGCCTTGTAAATTACGCTGGGTTCACGCTCCAAGGGCACGATCCCTCGTACATGACGCTGCGTCCGCAATCCCAGGGCCGCGGTCCCTAGTGAATTGCGCTGCGTCCGCGCTGCCAGGGCCTCGATCCCTTGTGAATTACGCTGCGTCCGCGCTCCCATGTCATTCTCGGCCTGGAGGTGCTGGTGCCCTCCCCATGATTATCAGGTCGAGCCCTCTCTTGACCGCCTCCGAAAGGCTGTCCCTCCGCTGATCTGCGCGCTGGAGCGCCCCCGAACGCTTCGGGGCCATGGCCGCCACCGAGCAGGCAAGAGCGACTGACCAAACTCACCAGGCGGCGAGCTCAAGCACGGCGGGAAGGGTTGGCTGCGCCCGCGCGGAGGTTGCGGGTGGGCGAATGGCCCAATGGGGCCTCGAGCGAAGGCGTCTTTCGGAGGAGAAGAGAAGAGAGGCTGAGCATCGTCGTCGTCGTCGTCCCCGCTTCCAGGGCCAGGATGCCTCGGTGAATTACGCGGCGTCCGCGCTCCCATGGCCACGGGCACCGATCCCTCGTAAATCACGGTGCGACCGCACTCTCAAAACCACTTGGGCATCCTGGGACGCCTAGGCCCCTCAAGTTCTGCAACACAAAGCGCGCGGCTCGAGACAGCCTCGAGAAACCTGCGCGCAGGACGCGCCGTCCTCGAGCGGGCACGCAAAAAGTCAACCTTCCGGTATTTTCTGTAACATCTTAGGGTCTCTCGGCATCGTTACCCAATACAAATTCAACGCAAAGCGCTTCGCGCCTTCTTGTTCACAAAGAGAAGCGAAGGTCCGTGGACGCCATTCGGCAGGGAGGATCTGGGATGGGGGGCGCGCTTTGCTTGAACGGGCACGCGCGAAACGTGCTTTTTCCACCCAGAATGGGACTTTACGTTGTCATGTATCGCGCATGAAGCCGCGGGTCCTTTTCAAGCATGGCACCGGCTACAGATTACCATCGAAAAGAAAACCCTGGGCCACAGCCCTTTCCAGGAAAAAAAAGGAAAACGGGCGAAGTGCACAGCCGGACCTAAAACATAACAACATCCTTCAAGAACATGAGACCCTCCGCCGGCCAAACCGGAGGACCTTCGAGGGCCCCCCCAGGATGCACAAGAACATCCAGACAAACACGAAGAACACCAGGGTACTCTCCCCGAAAAGACCTCGACTTTGTACCACGGTCCGACTGTAGCGGTATCAATACCTTTTTGTCCTCCGAGGGAAGGGGACAGCGCTCTGCATGATTACGCAGCACGCCCCTGCCGGCCAACGCCGCCTGGCCTTGAGCGGCTCTGCGGCGACCTGCAACATCAGGCCGTCCTGCCGCACGGCCGCGAGCACGACCTCCCGGTCTGCCCGCAGGTGCTCGGGCGCCTCGGAAAGATCGAGGCGACGAGTGCCCAAAGGGCAAAACAGACTGCACAACTATCGGCGCGCGGATTGGGCGCGAATTTTATGGGGGGGCGATAAAGGGGGGGGGGGGGTGAAAGGTGCCCCCTTCGGGCCCTGAAGGCCCCTTTCTGGGCCCCAAAGGGCCCCTTTAGGGGCCCTCAAGGGCCCCATTTCGGCAGCTCTCGCTGCCCCCCCACTTCACCGCCCCCCATTCACGCGCCCTCCGAGCGCGGACCCAGATTCTCGACGTGCCTTGGGGCCCAGCGCTAACTCCCTTGCGCTATACATCGCACGGTGACGAGTGGGGACCGAACGAGGCCCGAACAAAAAGCGAGCGGAGCGAGGGCCAGGGAAAAAGACACCACGGCGGAGGGACAACGATCCAGGGAGGAACCGCGGCCCGAAAACCAGCGCGCCCCCGATCTGGCCGAACTCGGCGCTTCCCCCGAAACGCCGGTCGCCGACCGCAACATTTCGACTTAATTTCGATCAGCCGAAATCTCGGCCAACGCCCTACGCTGGAAGCGCCGCCACGGGGGGTCCAGAGCTGGCCCAAACAGCTCATGCGGGCTTGCAAGAGTTTACTCCGTGCAGACTGCTGCTCTTCGAGAGCGTCCACGAGGCGGGGCGTCCAAGATAGGGGTTCGCAAATCACGGCCCGAGGCATGCGTTCGGACGAGGGGGGAACCACGGGATGTGCTGAAAGAAAAAAGGCGGCCTTGAAATCCGGGGCGATGTCATGGCCTGGGTCATGATACCCGTCCCCCCCCCCGTCCCAGACATCCAGCTGCTCCATTTTTTTGATGCGCGGGCCCCGTAGGTCCAGACCATTTCCCCAGAACCGGCTTTCCGTCCTGAGTTGTCTTGACGCTCCCGAGGCTCCGCGAGGGCCCCCGGAGGCTGAAAATGGTCCGAATCCCGCCGCTCCAACTTTTTGGAGCGTCGGGCCTCTGGGGTCATCCCCGCCCTCCTGGACGCCCCGGTGCTCCTGATTCGGGTCGGGCGAAAGGGGGGGATAGCAAAGGGGGGGTTTGAGAATCAGCTCACGTAGCTGATTTTCCCGGCGCCTCCCAGCGCCGGAGGCGGCTATGTATCGAGGAATGGGCTCCTCGGTGGGGCCGAAACCAGCTGCATGCAGCAAATTTCGTAACCCCCCTTTTCCAATCCCCCCCTTTCGTCCGGCCCGACTGATGACCGCAGGGCGGCTGCTCGCAAGCCGAGAGGGTCCGCTCGTCGTCGGGGGCGCCTCGCTCTCGCCCGCTGGCGCGAGCAGCCGCCCTGCGGGCACCGAGCGGCACGCAGTCGCTGGGGCAGGCAGCGTCTTGTTGTTCTGTCTTGTGTGTGTGTTCTCTTCTCTTCTCCTCCTCCTCCTCCTCCTCTTCCTCCTCCTCCTCTTCCTCCTCCTCCCCCTCCTCCTCCTCCTCCTCCTCCCTCCTCCTCCTCCTCCTCTCTCCTCCTCCTCCTCCTCCTCCGTCTCCTCCGTCTCCTCCGTCTCTCCTCCTCCTCCTCCTCCTCCCTCCCCCTCCTCCTCCTCCTCCTCCTCATCATCATGCGTGCTCCTCCTCCTCCTCCTTCTCCTCCTCCTCGTCTTCCTCTTCCCCGTCTTTTTCCGGCCACTGTGCGCTCTATGGATGCCAAACAGGATCGATCCACGAACCCGGAAAGGGATTTAGAGCTGCGAGGCCTGGGGACTCTTCCAGGCCCCTCAATTGGGCGATGTGCAGTGGCAATGCTGAAGATGTTAATGGTGATGCTACTGTGCCAGGAGCTGCATTATGCTTCACTGCGCTGCGGAGCGCCGCACAATGACGTGCCAGGGGACGCGCCACGAAACGTGCCAATGGACGTGCCACGGGATGTGCTAGGGGACTCACCGTGCGATGTGCCAAGGGGACGCGCCACGGGACGCGCTACGAAACGTGCCAGCGGACGTGCCAAGGGACGTGCCAGGGAACGCGCCAGGGGACGCTCCGCGCGACGTGCCCAGGGGAGGCGCCAGGGAACGTGCCCGAGGGTCACGATCCCTTGTAAGTTACGCTGCGTCCGCGGTCCCAGGGGTAAGATCCCTTCTGATTTGCGCTGGATTCGCGCTCCCAGGGATGCGTTCCTGGGTCAATTACGCGGGAGTCACGCTTCCAGGGCCACGATTCCTTGTGAATTACACTGCGCCCCACTCTGGGACGTTCGAAACCCACGTGTTGTCACGCTTGTCCCGCTCTGGGGCGTTAAGAACCCATGTGTTTTCACGCTTGTCTTGCCATGAGTCGTTAGGACCCATGTGTTTACACGTTTGTCTCGTCCTTGGGCGTTCGGAATCCATGTGTTTTCACGCTTGTCCCGCTCTGGGGCGTTTGGAACCAGATGTATTCACTCTTGTCCCGCTCGGGGAGGTTAGGAGCCCATGTGCTTTCATGCTTGCCCCGCTCTGGGGCGTTAGGAACCGTGTGTTTTCACGCTTGCCCCGCTCTGAGGCATTCGCTTGGGGAATCTAAAAGAATTCGCGTTAAACGCAAATGATTCGAGCCCCCGGAGAGAAGCAATCGATTTGACAAAACAAGCGTCTCCCATGAGACATCCTCAACACATTCTGCAAAACAAGCGTTTCGCTCGAGACAATCGCAACACACGACAATGTTAACTTTACTCTCTCTCTCTCTATATATATATGTATTCTATCGATCGGAATTTAAGAAATCAGCGTTTCATCTGGGGAATCGTCACTGTTTAATTCACCAACCCAGATGACCATGCTGAAAGAGAACCCTGGGCCTGAGCCCTTTCCGAAAACAAATATGTGTGCACTGTTTCTTCTCTTCCATGTCCACGAGGCAATCCTACCCATGCAGGGCTTCCGGGAGGCTTCTGGGAGGGTCTTGGGATGGCCTTGCGAGTGCAGTGGCGAACGACTGCGTAGGCATAGGCACGTGGAAGTGCGCACCGACTTCGGATTTCGTGCGTCAGCGCACGGCCCCGAACGCGTGTCTGCATGCCGCTTTTGCCTCCTCGGAGGCCGGAAGACGTGCTGCCGAAGGACCCCGGGGGGGGTGGCGCCCTGCAGGGGCCCGTCGCGCGAGTGGGCCTTCCTTCGGGGTCCCGTAGGTCCCGCCAGTCCAGGGCCGACCAGCCACGAGCGCTGGAGCTGCGCTCCTTGCTGGCAGGGCTGCAGTGGAGGCCAGTCCACAAGAAACCTGCCAAGAGGAACCCAACCCTGAGGCCCCAGGACGTGCATTGATGTTTGGTGTGGGAACGTCGCGCTGTCCACGGCAAAGCCATCGAAACCCAAGAAGCCCAGGGCACGCTGGAGGCAAGCAGGGTGTTTCTTGGCATGGGTCTTCAGTGTAATACGAACACCTCCATGCAAAACCGCTTGGTAGACGCACCACTCGAAGGAATCGAGCAGGGCAAGACTGCTCGTAAAAGTCAGTGGTGGGGTTGGGGGTAGTTTCCCCACCTTGACTCACCCCCTGCTCGTCGTGCCGACAATTCCAAGCCTCCACGGGGGGTAGGACCACAGCTCGCTCAGTTGTGGCTGCTCTGACTAGCGGACGAAGTACGGTATATCATGATTTTGTCCGTCATCTGGGACGCCTGCCCCAGGGCGGCTGGAGAGCTTATACCCTCACGGCGGCATGTGATCGTATAAGGATTCCAGCCGTGCTGGGACAGGCGCCCCCGATGGCGAAGCCACGTATGTCATGCCGCTACTCGTCCGCTCATTGCAGGGCCGCCTCGAGGGGGTCCTTGTGGGCCAACGATATCCATACCCACGGCCTCGCGGGCCGCGACCCCATGGATACGGGGCGTTTCTTCGCGGATGCCCCGCGCTGAACGTCTCCATGCGACCGTGAACCCGCGGGATCGCGCCCCAGAATCCAGACCGCGCGGGCGTGGATATGGATATGCTCGCCCCTCTGAAGGTTCAGCGGGTCCCTCCCAGAGGCTGGCGCCAGCTGCAACACCAGCGGGTCCCGTCGCACGGCGGCCAGCGCCACCTCCCGGCGCCCCTGCAGCTCCGGCGAGGCGAGCTGATAGGTCCAGCCATTCTGCCGCACCGCCGACAGCACGATCTCCGCGTCGGCACGGCAGGCGGGCGCGGCGTGCCGCAATGCGTCGCCGTCCTGCCGCTATGATTACCGCTGCCGCCGCCGCCGCCGTCGCGCCGCCGCCACCGCCTTCGCCATCATCTTCGCCGTCGCCTTCGCCGTCGCCGCCGCGGCCTCCTCCGCCGTCGCCGTCGCCTCCGCCGCCGTCCTGCCGCGTTGATCCTCGCCGTCGCCGTCGTTGCGCCGCCGCCGCCGCCCTCGCCTTCGCCGTCGCCTTCGCCGCTGCCGCCGCAACCTCCACCGCCGTCGTGCCTCGGGCCTGCCGCGACCGTGCGGGGCGATTCGGGCACCCCCGGAGGCCCTCGACGAGGCGCAGCTGCTGGAAAGCATCCCGAAGCGAGAGAACCCCCAAGAGCCGACGAAGGCGTCCGAAGACCCCCGAGAACCGACGCGAGGAGACCCAGCCTGCCGCCGCCGCCAGTGCCGTCCTGCCGCACGGCCGCGGCGACCACCTCCAAGTCCGCCCGCAGCGAGGCCGCGGCGTGAAGGAGCGCGGAGCCCTCCCTGCGCACGGCGGCCAGCACCACCACCTGGGCTTGGCATGCCCGACATCGGTACCGAAAAAACAAATACGATGTGCGATGCTTCACAAAACACGTGGTCCACAGTGACAGTGATGGTGTGATGGTTATGTACAGTGCCAAAAGCTGTGATGTGCCGTGCTGTGCTGTGATGAACTGAGACGCGCCATGTCGCGTTGAAGTGCTGTGCTTCATTGCATTGTGAATCAGGTTGTTCGTGGCGTCCGAACCCCGATCGAACTGATCTGGACCTTAAGGTCGACTTACCTGAACGCATAACTTAGATCTGGCCGCAATCGAAAGCCGCGGGGCGCTCGACCAGCTCGAGCTGACGATCCGATTCAGTTCGGGAAGCGGGACGAACCGAAAAGGCGCGAATCTGAAAACTTCCGTGGTTTGTTTCGTCGTGGATCAAGTCTCCCCTGGCATCCGAATCCTGACAGAATTGCGCTGGGCACAAAGCTCGAGCTGCCTGGGCGCATTGCTCGCCCAGAACTGATTGCACTAGAGACCGTATGAGAACATGATCGACCCACGAATCCGGAAAAGAATATAGAAATGTAAGGCGTGACACCTGATTGGGCGACGGGCACATGCAATGCTGAATATATCGATCTTGATGTACCGTGCCGATCGCTGTGCTGTTCTGCGCCGTGCTGAATTGCGAGGTGCCATGCCGCGATTGTGCTCTATAGCGTTGTGGATCGAGTCCCCCTTTGCATCCGAGTATTGTCCGAACTGATCTGGATCTTAAGCTCGAGCTGTCTGGGCACATAGTAGCTGCCCCAAAGTTAATAGCTAATTGACAGGGGGACATGCCAGGAGGACGCGCCGCGGAACGTCCCAAGGGACGCGCCAGGCGACGTGCCAGGGACGTGCCACGGGGACGCACCGCGGGACGTGCCAAGGGGACGCGCCACGGAAAGTGCCAATGGACGTGCAGCGGGACCTGCGAGGGGACTCGCCGCGCGACGTGCCAAGGGGACGCGCCACGGAACGTGCCAATGGACGTGCCGCGGGACCTGCCAGGGGACTCGCCGCGCGACGTGTCAGGGGGACTCGCCACAAATCGCTCCACAAAACGGGCCAAGGAACGTGCCAAGTTGCAATGCTGAGTTCATCGATATTGATGTACCGTGCCGAAGGCTGTGCTGTGCTTCGCCGTGCTGAATTGCGAGGTGCCATGCCGCGAATTTGCTCTATAGCGTTATGGATCAAGTCCTTTGCATCCGAGTGCTGACCGAACTGATTTGGATCTCAAGCTCGAACTGCCTGAGCACATTGTAGCTGCCCTAGAGCTAATTGGCAGGGGGACATGCCAGGAGGACGCGCCGCGGAACGTCCCAAGGGACGCTCCAGGCGACGTGCCAGGGACGTGCCATGGGGACGCACCGCGGGACGTGCCAAGGGGACGCGCCACGGAAAGTGCCAATGGACGTGCAGCGGGACCTGCGAGGGGACTCGCCGCGCGACGTGCCAAGGGGACGCCCCACGGAACGTGCCAATGGACGTGCCGCGGGACCTGCCAGGGGACTCGCCGCGCGACGTGTCAGGGGGACTCGCCACAAATCGCTCCACAAAACGGGCCAAGGAACGTGCCAAGTTGCAATGCTGAGTTCATCGATATTGATGTACCGTGCCGAAGGCTGTGCTGTGCTTCGCCGTGCTGAATTGCGAGGTGCCATGCCGCGAATTTGCTCTATAGCGTTATGGATCAAGTCCTTTGCATCCGAGTGCTGACCGAACTGATTTGGATCTCAAGCTCGAACTGCCTGAGCACATTGTAGCTGCCCTAGAGCTAATTGACAGGGGGACATGCCAGGAGGACGCGCCGCGGAACGTCCCAAGGGACGCTCCAGGCGACGTGCCAGGGACGTGCCACGGGGACGCACCGCGGGACGTGCCAAGGGGACAAGCCACGGAACGCGCCAATGGACGTGCCACGGGACGTGCCAAGGGATGCCCCGCGCAACGTGCCAAGAGGACTCGCCACGGGACGCACCACGGAACGTGCCAAGGACCGTGCCAGCTTGCAATGCTGAGTGTATCGATCTCGATGTACCGTGCCGAGGGCTGTGCTGTGTCTGGGCGACCTGGACATGTTGAAACAAGCGTTTCGCTCAAGACATTCTCGACACATCCTCATGCTAGACATCCACCTGTGCAACCTGGACACGCGCAAACAAGCGTCTCGCTTGAGAAATCCTCAACAAATCCTTATGCTCGACATCTGCCTGGGCAACCTGGACGCGTGAAACCAAGCGTCTCGCTCGAGACATCCTCAAGACCTGGGCACGTGAAAAGAAGCACTTCGCTTGCGAGATCCTCTGAATTCTGGTCCCCAGGAGAGGGCAATCTAGAACACAGAACAAGCGTTTCGCTCGAGACATCCTCAACAAGTTCTGCATAACAAGCGTTTCGCTCGGGACATCCTCGAATTTTGATTCGCCGGTCCTCTTCGACCTCGTCATTTATCGCAAAAGAGATTCGCCGGCCCTCTTCGAACTTGGCACGGGGGAGCGGTTCACCTACTAAAAGAAAACCCTGGGCCTGAGTTCTTTCCAGGAATTACGCTGCGTCTGCGCTCCCAGGGCCACGTTGCCCAATCCATTACGCTGTGTCCGCCCCCCAAGGACCACGATCCCTCGTAAATTAAGCTGCGTCCGCGCTCCCAGGGCCAGGATCCCTCGTAAACTACTCTGCGTCCACGCCCCCAGGGCCACGATCCATTGTAAATTACGTTGCGTCTGCTCTCCCTGGGCCACGATCCCTTGTGAAGTACGCTGCGTCCGCTCTCCCTGGGCCACAATCCATCGAAAATAACGCTGCGTCCGGGCTCCCAGGGCCGCGCTCCATAGTGAATTACGCTGTGTCCGCGCTCCCAGGACCACGTTCTCAGTACATTACGCTGTGTCCGCCCCCCCAGGGCCACGATCCCTCGTAATTTACACGCCGCTTTCCGCGCCCACAGGGCCACGATCCGTTGTAAATTAAGCTGCGTCCGCGCTCCCAGGGCCAGGATCCCTCGTAAATACCGCTGCGTCCGCGCTTCCAGGGCCACGATCCCTTGTAAACTACGCTGCGTCCGCGCTCCCAGGGCCACGCTCCCTCGTAAAGTACGCTGCGTCCACTCTCCCTGGTCCACGATCCCTTGTAAACTACGCTGCGCCCGCGATCCCAGGGCCACGATCCCTCGTAAAATACGCTGCGTCCGCTCTCCCCAGGCCACGATCCCTCGTAAACTACGCTGCGTCCGCGATCCCAGGCTACGATCCCTCGTCAATTACGCTGCGCCCTCGCTCCCAAAGTCGCGCTCCATAGTAAATCATGTCGCGTCCGCACTCCGAGGGCCACGTTCCCCAGTGAACGGCGCCCGCGCTCCCAAGGCCACGACCCCTCGTAAATTGCGCGGCGCCCGCGCTCCAAAGGCCGCGATCCCTGGTAATTACACGGCGCCCGCCCTCCCAGTGGCACGATCCCGAATTCGCCGGCCCAACGGGCCAGAGGCGTGCTAATATCTCCGGTAACTGCTAAATAATACTTCTACTTCGCGCGCGCGGGGCGGCCCCTGGGGGTCCCCGAACGAAAAGTACCCTGGGCGATCCCCGGCAGGGTCGGGTCAGAGATGGTTTTCCTCCTGGGCGCCGCCCCCGTGGCCCTCCAGAGAGCCCCAAGAAGGGCCACGAGGCCACCAAGAGCCCTCCAAGATGGTTCAAGAGTGCTCCGAGATGCCACACGACCGTTCCAAGACGCCCAAGATGGCCCCCAGACGCCCCAAGAGGCATCCAAGAGCACTCCCCAGAGGGCCCCAAGAGGCAAAATTCATTACTTTTCCTTAGGTTTTGGGCAGATTTTGGCGTGTCCATCTTTTCGGATTCCCGACGCCCCAAGACGGCCTAAGAGGCCCCCAAGATCGCCCCAAGAGGGCCCAAGAAGCTCCCAAGAAGGCCCCAAGATGGCCCAAGAGGGCTCCAAGACGGCCCCAGGGGCATCCAAGACGGCCCAAGAGGGGCCCAAGAGGGCCCCAAGCGATGCCCCAAAGGGGGAACACAAAACAAAACTTCGAGCCCTCGGCCTTAAGAAGCCCCCAGGAGGCCTCAAAGGGCCCCTGAAAGGCCCCAAAAGCACCCAAGAGGCCCTCGGGAGGCCCCCAATCGACGCTGAAGAGGCCCCCCAGCGGCCCCAAGAGGCTCAGTCATGCGAAATGGGCCGGCGGAGTGAGCGAAGCGATTCAATACATTAAGGGCCAAGATCCCATGCAAATTACGATGGACTTGCGCTCCCAATGCCGCGGTCCCTCGCAAATTATATTGGATTTGCGCTCCCAAGGCCACGATACTTCGTGAAGTACGCGGCATCCGCGCTCCCAAGGCCAGGATCATTTTTTTTTGTTTTGAGGACCAGGGGCGCTCAAGGGGCTCCAGGAGTTCCATGCGGCACCACATGCAGACGACAAGCGACCACAGGCCCGTGGCAACCGTCCAAGGTGGAACAGTCACCCACCGCGGCAGGAACAGGGAGCAATGAGCACACTGCCTCGATCCACTCGCAACTGAGGAGGGCCCCCGCCCAATCCAACAGTTCAACGCGAAAGGGAGGCAGGCGCCTCACCTCGCGTCAGGAAAGCAGTTAAGTACGCCTGGAAAAGTCGCGGCCAAGCTTGGCCCAGACTCTGCGTGTGGCAGCATGCCGACGTGCAAGCACACGAAGACGGGCTTCAAAGTGTTGCTCAGGCGTTCCAGGGAGACGAAGGCGGAAGGAATGATGAGTACTTATGAAGGCATCACAGAGCATAGCAGACAAAAGACAGCGGTCAGGTCCCATTCTCGGAAAAAGGAAGTACGAGTGGAGCCAGGGCAAGCCCTCAGAGGGGCTCGGAGTCCAAATGCCCATCCAGCGAGAAAAGAGGGAACGAAGGGGTTCGCAACGACAATAGTGTTTGAGGTCGTCCAGATCATCCGTGCAGGAGGAACATCCCATGAGGCATCCCCGAGGAGCCGTATGAAACC